CCCCTTCTACCAGCTTTCTTGAGTTGTCTTGTTGCATTCGTTCTTTGCAAAGGGAGGCAGCCGGATAGTCACTTTATCCTTCACTTCTACTTATACTCACTTCCTCCTCGTCTGCCTCTGCTTTCTTCTATTTCTTCTATCAACTAGTCTTGCTCTGGCTGTCCATCTCTACCCAGCTGTTGCGCGCCCTTTCTGTCGTCAAGCTATTTACGGCCTTCCAGCTTTTTCTTCCTCAGCTTCTCCTCGTGGAAGAAACGCCCTGTTCACTGTCCATCAGCTCTGCTCTTCGTGATATCCATCTGTCTGCCTCAAAAAGATCAAGATGGCCCCTCCAAAACTGTTCATTGGGTTTGTTTAGTCTCTTTGTCTTTTTTTTTTTTTTTTTTGTTTCCTTCTCGTCGTCTACCTCTTCGCCTTTGCTCCACCTGCTAATAGTTACTCTCTTCGTCTTGGAACAGTGGCCTCGCATGGCATACAACTGACGATACCCTGCGTGAAGGGTTTTCGAAGTTTGGCACCATCGAGGAAGCCGTTCGTTGCTCTCTTTATTATTCTATCTTGTCCATCCATTGATCTGTCTAGTCGCCGGACACAGGATGGATATGCTTTGTAGATAGCTGATCTCCCATGTCCAGATTGTTGTCAAGGACCGTGATACCAACCGCAGCCGCGGCTTTGGCTTTGTTCGTTTCTCCAGCGACAGTGAGGCTGATGCCGCACTGACTGCCATGAACAACCAAGAGTATGCTCGCTGTTCCCCTTAGGAGAAGGACCTGATCCTTTTTTTTTTACTGGCTTGCTTTTTGCTCACTGTCCCCCAACAGGTTCGACGGCCGTGTCATTCGTGTCGACAAGGCGACTGAACGCTCTTCTGGCGGCGGTGGAGGCTATGGCCAGCGCCAGGGAGGCTACAACCGCTTCGACAACTCTGACCGCGGCGGCAGCTACAACCGCGGTGGTTACGGTAGGTGTACATAAAACCATACGCTTTCCATGTGAAACTCTGGTTTTTAACTAACTTATAATATTGGGGGATCTAGGCGGTGGCTATGATTCTCGCCAAGGAAGTGGTAAGTTCTTTTGTCTTCCAGACTCCCAGCCTATAGGGTCTGGTGTATATGCCTGGTGTATATGGGTTCTTACTAACTTGCCAATTTCCTACTACAGGCTGGGGTGGGCAGCAGCAACAGCAGCAGCAGACATACCATGGCCAGAACCAGGGAGGCAACGGAGGAATGTAACTCTCGCGCTCTCCAGGCTTGCCAGCTAGCTCTAGGATGATGCCAGCCTTTTGCCTCGAATCTGCCCCGATTTTTTACACTCTTTCCCTCCATTTCATTTTCTTCTTTCTTCCCCTCTATTTATCCAGTTTTCCAACCGATTCTCGACAGCGAAGTACGATAGTTCACGAAGAAGGGCCACGATGTTACGAATAACGAGTGAGACAGATACCTAGTTATGTATCAGATAACCTGACCCAACCCAACGATCAATCAGCATCTATTTCATTCAGACCACCGGAACCTACATACCGCTCTAAAGGAGAAAAAAAAAAAAACCCCAAATTACTCGACCAGATTATCTTGCTGTTGCTTTCGAGGATAGAAGGGTCTCTGCATCTTTCATCACGTCTTTTCTCCTTCCCATAGTCCCTTTAATCGCCCAATTCCCCCCTGCCCAACCAATTTTTCCCCCATAGTTTATGACTGCTCTCCAGAGATGGGGGATCTTTTCTGATCTTTGTTTGCACGTCAAGCACTGACACCTTTTCCTTTCTATGAAAACATCTCCCGTATCTCTCAAAAGTAGGCTTATACTACGAGACAAAAAAAGAAAAAAAAGACACACACCACCTTCCTTGCTCCTTTCATTCTGCTTCTTATGTTACGCCACTTTTTCAGATGCTTTCGAATGGCTGGCCACTCTTCTACAATCAATTCGCTAATTTTGTATGATGAGCTTGCTACTTTGATCCCCCTGAGTTAAAACAGAAAAGAAAAGGGTTGTCCCCTGAATTCTCCCGAAATCTTACTATTGCTTCTATTCGGTCGGTCACGGCTAACCTTACACATCCAATATATCCAACGGCGGAGGAGCCCTAGACATGAGCTGATTATTACTGAGACTCGAGTTTAGGTAATAAGTGTAGTTGAGATAACGTATGGTTAAAGCCTTGGTTTTTTATGTTATGTGTCCATGGTTATATAAATTTGATCTATCGACCCCACCAAACCCACATCGCTTCTATAACTAGATAGAGTATGAGAAGTGTATAAGAGCCACAGGCGACGCTCATGCATATAAAAAAGAAAAGAGAGAGACAGATCTAAACTCTTAGCATAGTTATAAGCATGGCTGTCAGCCGCTTTGTTCCAGGGCCTTCACGCGCCGCACCAAGTCTGTGACGTGAACATCAGAAGAACCCAGTCCAAGGCCCTCGAGCGCAGTCTCAAGCGAATAGAGATAATCCTTGTTCTCTCCACTCTGGCCCCGGCTTGCATAGATCACTTCTGCTATGGCATCCGGCTTGCGCAGTGCTGGTTCACGCACAAACTGGGTGTTGCTCGGGAGCCCAATATAGACCAGACATTCTCTCGACTGCAAGCCAGCAGCAGACTGGGCTTCACCATTCTTGGAACTTGAGCATGGATAAAAGGGAGTGTAGTGTACACTGTAGCCATCTATCTCTCGGTCGTCCAAGTATGCACTGACTTCCTCTGCGTGTGAGGCAGGGATGTGGTATGCTGCACCCCAGACGAGGGACCCGTCGGTAGTCCGTTCAAGATCTTGTTGCTGAGAACCGTTTAGCATGCAGCACATACATAGTTAGGCCTTCTGGAGTGGCTACACCACGCTCCAGGCGTAATCCATCAAAGACCATCAGGGAAGGGTGTCGGACTGACCGGATCAGAAAGGGACTCCCAAAACGAACGCTCGATAACTGTGACTACACGACCCGGTGCTTCTGGGGTTCCACGATGATCCGTACTGAAATTGTGAAGCCATTCTCTGTCAGTAATTGCTGCGGCTGGCTGGCGGTATTTGTTGTGCCAACTACAGGGTGGAGTGGCCGCACCTTGCCTATCGATCCAATCCGGTACCAGTCAGTTCAACACCTAACCATTTTTTTTATCGTTGAAAGTTTGGATGCTTTGATTCCCAAGCAAGCCTTACCTGCCAGAATCGACGAACGTAGCCCTTGATATACCCGGCAACCCGCTGGTCTGAAGGAACCAAAAATATTAGCAGGGCCATCATTCTCACAGGCGGACAGTAGAGACACACCGTAATGTGGCGGAGGTTTCCATATCAGGCTCCTAGGTGTGCCATAAATCAGTATGGGATGTCGCTTTAAAGGGCACGGTGGAAGGGCAAAGTCGTTTGACTGCGTTGACGAACCCGTAACCAAATACCCAGAGGTCTCCGGCCGGGAAGTGGCTCTTCCATGATTGCAGCGATTGCCGCTCCGTAGACGCCATCACCGGCTGAACGTCGCCGCCTCTCGATCAATAACTAAAGGGTAACTAGTTATATAAAAAGGCCTTTCAAGCAGGCTTTGACAGTCAAGTAACTTAGTTAGCGAGCTCCCAGAAGCGTGCTGAGTAGCTATGGCCGTGGGGGGACAGGCGGGAGGCTACCTCAGACAATTGTGGCTTGCATCGCGGCGTCGACGTCGATTCACTAACTACCTAAACTCGACTCTCCCGCACTCGGTGCTTCGTTAGTTATCGGCCAACCGGCTCCCCGCCGTTGGCTCCATCCCGGGGCCACCTGGTCAACTCATGGATGTACAGTCACATGACAAAAGTATTTTTAATTTCGCGTTCCGGCGCGCATCACCAATGTAAACACCATCCATCTCCATCCTATTCCAGCATGCCACGTATACCCCTACGCCCAATTAATAGTAATATATAGAGGAATAAGGAACTAACTCCTTATATAAGAGCTCTAATATATAGAAGGAGCAATTCTAATTAGAGAAATTTATATATTTTGCGAGTAATTAGTATTTTACCCTAAACTATTATATATACTCTAAAGAAAAGAGTAGAAAGAACTAGGGGAGAAAGTATTAAACGAGCTAGTAGATCTAGAAAGCTATTAGAAGCTAATATTTAATATATCCTATATACTATTAAGAAGAACTCTTTTATTACTCTTTATAAATTATAGTTCGAATATTTACTTCTTAAAATTAGTATCTCTATAAGGTCCCTCTCTTAATATATTAAGGAATTAGCCTATAGGCACTAGAAGGTAAGGGAAAGGCCTTAATTAATAGAAGAAGTAGCTACTCTACGCAAGGCCTAGGCTTTAAAATATAAGGATAATATCTAGGAGGAGTAGTTTAAGGTTATATAGTTTAATAAATATTTTATAGAGTTAGAAAAAGGTAAAGATAACTTATAGGTCTTCTATAAGTATAAACTTAATATAAAATAGAAGAAGAAATATATAAGACTAAAGATTAAGCTAAAAAGAGTCTTAATAATAATTTAGGGTACTATTTAGGGTAAGGGTTATTAAGATCTTAATATAATAATTTAAAATCTAGAGTTAAATATAAGGGGGTACTCTAGTAACTCCTATCTTAATATCCTTAAGGATAACCTACCTTCTATTTAGGAACTAAGTATAATATTTATATAAGATAATACTCCTATATATATAGCTAAAAAGATTATAGATTAGTTATAGGAGAATAGAATTTAAACTATAAACTAGCCCCCCTATTTACTAGATATAAACTCTATCGAATAGACTTAGATTAGACTTAAAGTAACTCTTTATAGACTAAATCTAGATATTAAAAAATATATAGAGCCTAAAGAGGAACTTAAGATTAAATTTATAGCTCTTATTAAGTAAGTATAGGAGTTATTAGGCTAGGATTATTTTAATAGGTTAATAAGGAGTATAGATAATAGAATCAATACTTTACTCGAGGTAGATAGGTAGTATATATAGTATTAAATAGGGGATAACTATCCTAGCTATTTCTCTAGCTAATTTAGAGCCTATTTTATTAATTTTATATAATAATATCGATATTTAGTAATGTAATATTTAATATAAGAATAGGGGTACTCATATAAAAATTAGTGGCGATCCCAAAAGCAAAATACTTTTGTCCTAGAACTGTACCTAGGTATCCATCTCAGCCGCTCCGGGCGTTGGAACATCGTTCTTCCACAGCTGGCTTAGGTCGGGTACCTAGGTTGTGGCCTCGGTGCAGTTGAGGTATGTAGCTAATTAGTTGACTAATTAACAGGTTAACTAGCTAACGAGTTAACTGGGCCACAGCGAAGATCAAAAGGGAGATGAGAGCGAAGCAGGCGAAAAGACAAGGGCTCGCAAAACGGCCGTCCAATCGACGAGTTGGCTGAGGCGAGAGAGAGAGAGAGAGAGCTCTGACAGATCCAAAGGACAGCCGGGCGCTGCCTTGTCGCCAGAGATCAAGCAGTCCGCCCAGCTGGTTAACTCTAGCTAGCTAACGAGCTAACTAGCCATAAGCGGCGGTTCTCTCGTTGACTAACTAACTAGTTATCTTAGCTCGTTGCCCGCCAGTCATTTGGTCAAATTCTCAGCAGTGACGAGGATAGGTGCAGTAGAGATCACATGGGGACTCGACGTCGGCCGCTGCAACAAAGTCTTTTGCTCTTCTAACTGCGATCTCGTTTGCTTCTACTCCAGCCTCGTCCCCTCAGATATTTACAGCTCCAGCTCCTTTTGGTCGCTTGTTGAAGCATCTCCAGGCTCTGCTGTCTTCCTGATAACTACCTCGCGATTCCTGGACAGAAGGGTGTTCTCTGCTTTGGCGGGTGGGGGGCTACATCATTACAGCCAAAAGGACAAGGCCGTCGCATGAACGCCTTAAGGAACTGATAGCCATGGCATATAAGGGAGCATACAACCCAGATGCTCTGCCAGCGTAAGTTCCTCTTGCGCCCATCTCGTCACTGCCTAGGGACAAACGGGCTGGCTAACCTCTATACTGCGTGTCACCATGATATTAGACACGCTGAGCCTGAACAGGTTTGTTTGGCCGAATAAAATGGCCCTCCTGAGGAGGGATGAAACCGAGCCTTGCTAATGTGGAATGCAACTCCTCTGCGCGCGGTTTAGGTGGCTCAAATGCTGGGTGCAATGCAACCGTCACAGTCTCAACACCCTGCTCACAGCTCGCGACCCCAGGGCAACGCAGAGCAACACTCACAGCGCCGTCCCTCAGGCAACCATTCATTCCAGCCCCCGCGACAGCACTATTCGGCGTCATCATCGCAGAACGGCCCTCCACGAGTAGATCCGTACTATAACCAACATTCAAACCCGTCAATAGCAAACCGTCTTCACTCCCCGCCACCCCAGCACTATGGCTTTGGCCCTCGCCCTATCCAACCTGCTCAAAATCGGCCGCCTCCCACCTCATACCCTCCACGGACTCCATTACCACCAAGTGCGGGAGGGGCGGCTCTACCCGCTTCTAACGAGCCACACGACCTGTTCCCCCTATTTCGTGCAGCCAACGCATCAAACTCGGGTTCTCTCAGTGCATCTGAACTCGGCTCTGCGCTTGTAAATGGGGACTACACCTCGTTCAATTGTGATACCGTCACGATGATGATCCGCATGTTTGACCGGGACGGCAACGGCGCGGTAAGTTTCGACGAGTTTGTGGCTCTCTGGCGATTTCTAGCTGCATGGAGAGGGTTATTTGACCGGTTTGATGAAGATATGAGCGGGCGTATCAGTTTCCAGGAATTCAGCAAGGCGCTGGTGGCGTTCGGATACAAACTTAGCCACACATTTGTTCAGACTTTGTTCAACACATTCGAAAGCAAGGCCCAGCGGAATACAACTTCGGTTCCTGGACGGACCGATGGAATGAGCTTTGATCTCTTCGTCCAGGCTTGTATAACTCTGAAGCGAATGACTAATGTTTTTAAGAGATACGACGATGATCGGGATGGATATATAACATTGAGTTTCGAGGAATTCCTGACAGGTATGACGGCTGGCTATTTGTCCCATTTCATGGGCTTTCTTTTGGACGCATATACGCATATTTACAGAACTAACCTACCATGTCTAGAAATCTTACCACTTCGAGAATAAACGAACAACTTTAGATAGCCGGGGAAGTAGTAGCATTCTTGGGGTTGCGCAGCTTTATTTGCATTATTCCTTGGTGTTTTTTGCAGACATTTTAACATTTTACATGTAACTATTGAAAAACGGATGAAACATGGAAAGCCCGAGAAAGGTCATTGCATATGTTAGGTAGTTAACTAACCGTACCATGAAAGACGTAAACAGGGAGAAACGAAATAATATATGAGCTATTTATTGTGTGATAAAAGGTCATAGGAGTCAAAACCTCTACTGACCACATAATGCAGATTCCACTTGATCCTTTTTGGCCCGACTGGCATGAATTTGGCCAACGAAGTAGAAAGCCGGAGAGCATAATAAGCATTATTCTGTAACTTTGATATTCTCGATATGCTTGCCCAGGGAGTTAATGAAATGAAATAAATCAGCTATAAAAGAGACGAAACAGTGGCCCCCAGGACTGACATAGCGGAAGGTCTAGGGCATATAAATAGTTAAAAGTCACGAGCAGAATTCGTATTAACGGAGCGGCAAGAAATCCATGGGCTGATGGAAAACGCAGTGAGATACTACCAGGAGAGCGAGTTATATAACTAGGTAGCTCGCGCAGCAAATAGCCCTTTTGTTTCAGTAGTATATCATAGGCACATGAGTTTTATTTCCATTATACACCCACTTTATTCATGGGGAGGTTTTCGTAAAAGAATTCTTGGAACTAGACTAATAGAGAGATTGTTCGCCATTTGAATGTAACATCAGCCGATCACAGGCGGTTAGGTGTTGCGGTAAGCGGCCACTGGTAGCCTGCAGCATCGCTGAACTTATACCCGAAAGATGAGGTGAAGTCATCGAGGACAGCAGGTCCTCGAGAGCCTGTGTGACAAGAACGACTGTTAGAGAAGTCAGATAGAAGAGAGAGGCTATATCTGCTTACCATAGGGGTACTCCATTGGGACTATTTCTTTGTTGTCGTCAAGATAGTGCAACAATGGGGTAAAGATCCTCCAGCTGGCATCAAGCTCGTCATCACGGACAAAGTTTGAATGATCCCCCTTGAGCGCATCCAGGATGAGGGATTCATAGGCCTCTGGGATCTTCAAGTCCGAGAATCGTCGACGGTATGTGAGATCAAGCTCGGTGACAACGGTCTGCATTGAGAGCCCAGGGAGTTTTGAATTCATTTTGATATATACCGATTCGTTGGGCTGGACACGAATGACCAGCTCGTTTCTGGGGATATCTTTAAATATACCGGAGGTAACATCGCGGAACTGGATGCGAATCTCCGTCTTTTGTTCGTTGAGAGCTGCAAAAAATATCTAGTCAGCATAGACATAATTTAGAGCGGATGATACACACGGGCAACAAACCTTTGCCAGCCTTCAGGATAAAGGGAACCCCGTCCCATCGCTCGTTCTTGATATACGCAACCATTGCACAAAAGGTAGCACATCTGGAGTCCTTGGGGACAGTCTCATCTTCCTTGTATGCAGGCTTAGTGCCGTCTAGAGACTTTCCATACTGGCCGATGATGACGTTCTTGGGCTCAATCGCATCGATACCCCTCAACACTCTCACTTTTTCATCACGGATGTCTTCTGCAGAGAACGATATCGGACGCTCCATGGCAAGCAGGGTTAGAACTTGGAGAAGATCTAGCTCAAGATACAATTAGCGGACGGCCCCTTGCTTGTAGCGGGAATAGATAATCAGTTTGCCTACGGTTCTGCATGACATCTCTGACAATTCCGAACTCATCAAAGTAGCCGCCACGGCCTTCAGTACCAAACGGCTCTTTAAACGTGATCTGCATAGTAGGCAAGAGTCAGCAAATGAGGCTCTCTTTTCCCCTATCTGTTCAAGCTCAAATGGCAGAAACAATAAAACATACCTGGACGTTATCTATGTGGTGCCGGTTCCAGGTGGCACCGAAGAACTCATTTCCGAAACGTAGAATGAGGATATTTTTCACCATTTCCTTCCCAAGGTAGTGATCGATACGGAATATTTCGTCCTCCCGCCAATTGGGTTCAAGAGCCCTCTGTAGCTCTCGGGAGCTACCTAGATCTTTTCCAAACGGCTTCTCGACCTGAACATGTCACCATCATCATCATTTGTGATGACAATTAGCCATAACTATCCTATTTAACTCAAAAGGTTCAGGGAGAAGGCCACTAACAATTATCCTCGTGATGCCATTTTCTGGGTAGCAGTTCTTCTTGAGGTGTTGGGAGACGGTGATGAACACGCTTGGCGGCAGGGCCATGTAGAAGACCCTGTTTTGCTCCTTTCGGCCCTTTTCTAATTCCTCCAGGTGGTTTTTAAGGGTGATGAAGGATTCATCCTGGTCGTACTGCCCAGATATGTAGGAGCAGAGCTCGCAGAACCCATTCAACTGCTCCTCGAGCTCCTTGGTAGGGACTTTGATATAGGACCGGATTCGTCGGACATATTCATCATGATCCATCTTGGTGCGAGCATATCCGACGATCTTGATGTCCTTGGGCAGGAACTTGTTGCGATACTGCGGATGAGGGAGGTATGGTCAGAAAACTGAGGCTGGAGTTGTGACTGCTGGTTCCCGAGGGAGACGGAGAGACCACTTACCAGGCCAAAGAGCGCTGGGAACTAGTTAGTTGGAGAGAGAAGCGGCCGTTGTTAGCCCACGCCAAACCGGCATCATCACTGGCGGCAAAAGACGCGAAGATATACTCACAGTCTTCTTCTTTGCCAGGTCTCCCGAAGCACCCAGGACGACGATGACGGTGTCGTCCTTGAGCTCCATCGAACTACACGCACATACAGCAAGAGACGTCATCATCAGCGCAGCCGCCCAAACAACAAGAAAACAAGGTAATGTGCAGTTGTACGGCGAAACGGCGTGCATCATGGGGAGCCCACTTACCCGGGAGCTGTCTCGTTGTGTGTCATTGAGCCCGCCATGGTGTGTCGAGGCCGTGGTTGTCGCGGTTCAGCTTGCTAGCTGAGCTCGATAGTTAACCAGTTAACTAACTAGTTAGATGACGGAGGGATGGCTGAGCAGAGCTGGCGGGGTGGTTTCTCTCGACTGGAACAGCCGGCGGGATCAGCGGGCAAAAAAGCAATTGAACTGCCCCACCGAGAGCAGCAGCAGCAGCAGCAGGACGAGCGAAGAGCAGAGGTTCCTTGGACGGTGCTGGAGGAGAGCAGCCTGAGCGAGCGAGCGAGCGAGCGAGAGGGACGGACGGAGATGGAGTTGGCAGGGCGGACGAGCGAGGGCTGCAGACGAGGGTCGAAGGGACCTGGGTCGACGGTTTCGGCGGCGGCGGCGGCGGCGGCGGCGGGCGGAGCAAGCTGGGTGAAACCAGATGGACGGACGCAGCGTGGGCGACGGCAGTTAACTAGTTAGCTAGCTAGTTAGTTATCGATGCACCAAGCAGCTAGCTACTAGATACATAATTACTTGATGGCCTCTCTTCGCTCATAGAGGTACAGACATAGCTGCGGCCACGTTCGCCTGGGACTACGCTGGACCTCACCGGCCGTCTATCCACGTACAGACTGTCGCCTAGTTACATATAACTACATAGCTGCCGGCCGATCTTCTCTCCACCGTTCCTCCAGCGAGTTAGTTAACGCGCTCGGTATGATAGCTTGCTGCCGTGTCTATCTAACTATATGGCATCACTGCCAGGTTGGCTATGGAACAGACAAATGGCTGACTGTCCTGCTCTCTCTTTAGGCGTGCAGAGTAACTAACCTGCTACGGAACACGGAATAGCACTCGCAGCAATGGAAGCAATAACTACGCGAGTTGACCATGGCCGGCGTTTTGCTCGGCGACGGAGGCAGAGGAAGCATTGCTGGTGGCTACCTGTGGGATGTGCTGGAACAGACTGACCAGACAGACCCTGGCGCTGGCCCTGGCCCTGGAAGGGAGTTACTCGACATCCTTGGAGGAGCGACAGAGCTGCTGGTGTTGTATGGATGTATGTATGTATGTGGACCTACACTTCCCTGCAGCCCACGAACCCGTTTGCGAGCCGGTGGCCTGGCAGCTCGTTTTCTGGAGGACGATAACTAGTGACTCCTTGCGTGGTTACAGAGCCAGCTAGTTACCAGGATGAGATGATAGTTGACGACGGCACTCACCTGGCTAACTTGCAGGCATTCTTATTACTACTGACTAGTTAGTTGATGCTCATTCCAGACACCCGCCAGCCAACCAAATGAATATCTATATAAGGGCGGAGTTTTGGCTCTCTCGTAAGGCAAAGGGAACATGCTCGACATCGAAGACTAGTTAACTAGTTATCCATACGGAGCAAGTTGGTTGGTTAACTAGTTAACTATGCGGCGGCCTCTGCCAGTGCCAGGCTTGCGCCATCGCTCGCACACACACACACACACACACTCTCTCTCTCTCTCTCTCTCTCTCTGCCCGTGGGAGAGACGATTAGTTGCCGAAACACCACGTGGAACAATGCAAGGGATCGCTATGGGATGCGGATGCGGATGCCCACGCTCTCTCGCGGATGGGATGCCGCTGGCGGGAGAAATACGAACCGAGCTCACTAACTAGTTAGTTAGCTGGCCCTGAAGAAGTGGAAATATTGAGCGACCAGCCAGACGTGAACGAGCTGCGAACTCCACCGCTGCTCAGCCGTCGCAATCGAAGAGCAGGGGAAGAATTCATCTCTGCGGTCTAGCCATTAATTAGTTATTTAACATCCGTGGCAGTAGGGCTGATATCGATGGCCAGCCTCTGCGCGCTGCAGAAAAGGCTCCGTTTCTCTCGTCTTGTCCGTCCGCCGGCCCAACCACAGACAACACCACAAGCCTCCCTTGCGAGACTAACCAACAAGCTGTCCATCCACTTTTGCTTCTTTTCTCTCTTCTTCCTTTTTTTTTTTACCCTCCTCGGCGGAAGATACCCTCCTTGAGCTTTGCTGAAAGCAGTCTGCTCGTATTGAACGGAGGTGTCTGGGACACCCTCCTCGTGATTGCGTAGAGCCTCTAGTTGGCTAGGTACTTGACTCAGGTACTTAGTTACTACCACGAGAGACAGCTTTCTTCATTACCCGTGAAGCCCACGGAAATAAGACGAGATGTTTGTTTAGATATCTAATTATGGGGACAGAGCATGTCAGCTCGACGAGAGATGCTTGGAAAAGAACGAGATATCTTCGAGGCTTCTGCATAGGTTTCCTCAGGCGCCTAGCACGAGAGGGAAAAGCCTCCTTCCTTGGAGGAGCGTCCTTGTCCTTCGCGTCAAGTAGCTTTCTCAGCTAGCTTGTCTTTTGCTCTCCCTCTCCCCTGTTTCGCCAAAAGCACTGCAGAGAAGTTTTGCTTGGTTTACAAAATGCTCCGTCGAGACGCCTGTGTTTCTTACGCTGCAGCAAAACGTGATTATCTCATGCTTTCTATCCTTATCATACCGTCTTGACTATATATCGATATATATAAGAGGCGCCATGTTGCATCATCCTCCTTAGAATTCCCTTCTTTCTCTCTCTCTCGCTAGCTAGCTTCTCTAGGGCCGGAACCAAGCTCTGTCCAAACAAACAACTACATACCAGTGCCTGGTGCTCAACCTGGCCATTTGCCATTCACGAAAGACGGGCGTTGCTTTACTTCTTTCCGTTCTACTGAATTCACTGCAGGCCAGAGACCTTAACACGCGCGCGCACACACACACACACACACATATATATATATATACACACACGCAATTTAATCACGCAGCGCCTTCCCATTCCAGTGCCTTATTCCGCCCTTCTTGGACGGCTATACTCACCACAACCGTTCCCCCAAAACCAGAATTCATTTCACCATGACTCGAGTGGCCGATGGAAGTGGGAGACGGGCCCTCCGGCCGGTCAGCATGGGACCCAGACCTCAACGGCCGATGAGCTTCACTTTTCCGGATTTCCCATTCAACCCAGAAAGCGATGTGTTCCCATACGCGGACCCGAACAAACGACTATCGTACTTCAAATACCCTGATGTAGATCCAGTACCTCCACTACCAACCCTCTCGGCATCACGCAATGGCAGCCAAGATACCATTGTCCCTCCCCCGTACGAGAATGGCGATGCAGAAAAGGCAGAGCCTCCACCTGAAGCCCCTCCAAGCAAGATGAGCAGGCAGGAGATCGTCATCATCATGACAGCTTTATGTGTAAGACTCCCAAGAGAAAAGGACTAAGGAAAGTAGGTGCAAATTGGATCATTTCTAACTTAGCCTTGATGCATTGATATAGCTGGCCTTGTTTCTTGCTGCCCTCGATATGGTTAGTTTATCCATCGTTTCTCCCATCCATGATTCATACTCAATAAATTTTCTAATGCTCTCTGCAGACAATTATCTCTACCTCTCTTCCTACAATTTCAAAGGTGTTTAATGCCAATGAGAGCGGTTACACATGGATGGCCTCATCTTACCTTTTAGCCAACGCCTCATGCGTCCCTCTGTGGGGAAAGCTTAGTGACATCTGGGGTCGCAAAGTCCTCATCCTAGCGGCCAATGTCCTATTCCTTGTTGGAAGTTTACTCTGCGGAATCGCACCAGGACTGGCCATTTTCCTAGTCGGAAGAGGTATTCAGGGAATTGGAGGAGGTGGCTTGATCATTTTAGGACAAATCTGTGTTAGTGATCTGTTTAGCGCGAGGTATATGTTCCCCTGGCTCCGACAGTCACAAGCATAGATTTTTACTAACACGATGCAACTTATAGAGAGCGTCCTGTTTACTATGCTCTCTTCGGAGCTACATGGGCTGTTGCTGGGGCACTTGGACCAGTGATAGGTGGACTTCTAACTCAAAATACTTCCTGGCGCTGGTGTTTCTACATTAACTGTAAGTGTTATAGCCACCAGATTACCCAAATGATAAAAAGTGTATTGGCATATGCCTCTATTTGCATAATATACTAACATATCAACTTGGATTATTAGTACCTGTTGGCGGCATATGTTTCGTGATTCTCTTCTTTTTTCTGAAAATAGAGTCTCCAAAAACACCTCTCCTCGCCGGACTGCGTGTTATTGACTGGCTTGGAACCGTCACTATTGTTGGAGGAACAGTCATGTTACTCTTCGGCCTGGAGTTTGGTGGCGTCAGCTTCCCATGGAATTCTCCGACAACCATCGGACTAATTATCGGTGGTATTGTTATTTTGGGAATATTCGGCGTGGTTGAGAGGTATTATGCGAAATATCCAATCATGCCCCCTGCTGTTTTCGATGGTATAAACAACATCCTTATCTTGGGAGTTAACTGGGTCCATGCGTCTTTGTTCATCTCCGGCGCATACTTCCTTCCCATTTACTTCCAGATTGTTCTCGGTGTCGGCCCAACACTGAGTGGAGTCTATATCTTACCACAAGTAATGGGGCTCTCAGTTGTTGCCATGCTGACCGGGATGTTCATCCGAAACACGGGCAAATATGTCTGGATTATGCGTATCAGCATGTTGATAACGACTTTGGGATATGGTCTATTTTTGGATTTCCAGTCATACACGTCCTGGCCTCGACTTATTATATACCAGCTTATCTCCGGCATTGGTATTGGTCCCAACTTTCAGGCCCCTCTGATTGCCATCCAGAACAACATGCCGCCCGGAGATGTATCCGGAGCCACCTCGACGTTTGGTTTCATGCGCCAGCTCGCTACATCATCGTCCATTGTTCTTGGCAGTGTGGTGTACCAGAACATCATCAATGGCAAAGAAGCATATCTTACTGAAGTTTTGGGCCCAGAACTGGCTCCTAAATTCCTTGGGAGCATTGCTGGAGCGAATATTGATTTAATCCATCAGCTGACTCAGTCTCAGAAGGATATCGTGCTGAATGAATATACCACTGCACTCAAACGGGCTTGGTTGTTCTACACCGCTCTTAGTGCAATTGGGTGCATTTTCAGCTTCTTTGTCCGGGAAAAGGCTTTAAACCAGAATCATGAAGTGACCAAAACGGGACTCGAGGAGCAGGAGCGCGCTCGACTGGCGCGCATTGCTGCTGCCAAGAAACCTGAAGAGAGGCAGACAGAATGGCCTGGCAGTGAGTCAAGAAAACCCCAGTAAGGGGAGCAGAACCAGGCCATACACTATTTCCATGACACCCCTGATGACGTTGCTTTCAGCTAATTTGGTTTTAAATTGTAAATATGCATTTGTTGGCGGTACCTTTTTTTTGACATGTATAGACATTTTGCCTCGGATATTCAGCATATTCCATTCAGACAGCGATGATAATGTACCCTTCTGTTATATTTTCTTTTATATTTGTAGATATATTAATATTCTCGACGTCTTGTTTCTGCGTCATTGTTGTGAATATACCTGACTTTGTTAGAATATATCTAATGGTAATTCTATTTCTGATTCCCCATATGTTCAAGAAAACCGTTATTATGTAATCAACAACTAGTTAACTAGTTAGTAAGCTAAGTTCTTCACTAGAAACTCCCTTTTTTATTTAACCTGCCTGCCCCGACAATGATAATAAATTAGTAAAGTAACCAGGGGGTTACTGGATCTTATGCCTCTTTTGTTCTTGTCAATCTCGGGCCTCTCTGACTAGTTTGGCACAGCTGAAGATAAAATGGGACGTGCGGCGTCATGGATAGGCAGTCCCTCGATCAAGGGCAGAACGGAAGCAGTTCGTATGGCAATGCTAACTGCTGGTCTGGCTGGATTGCAGTATGTTACCCTGTTGAATCCTCTTCCACTGGTAATATCCCCATATTGCAGGGATTTAAACTCCTCTAGAAAGTGGAGCTCTGTTAAATATCACCAATTCAAGCTGTCCTCCGTACACTGGCTAACCCCTTTGTTTACACCTCGGTCGCTTTCTAGGTTTACGTGGAGCATTAAGATGTCATGTAATTTAAGCCCTTTGTTCACTATTTCCAAATCACTCTAACTATTAGCTGAATTGTTTGGGAGGGCAGATTTCACTCCGTATCTTTTAAAGCTCGGAGTCGCGAGATCAAGTGTCTCTCTGGTATGGATGGTCAGTCCTTCATTAGGATTGATGCAACCATTGATTGGGGCACTTTCAGACCATTCAAAATGCAAATGGGGGCGACGGCGACCTTTTATTGTCTGTGGGTCAGCCGTTATAAGTATATGCTTCCTTTTACTCGGTTGGTCGACAGAACTTGCTGGACTCTTTATTGCAGATGAGAAAACCGTTAAGCTCCCCATCTGATTGGCACCCCATTTACATATTCATACTAACTCATTTCTAGAAACACAACTTTATAATTGCTGTGGCTGTTTTCGGTATACTGGTAATTGATTTTTCAGTTAATACTGGCATGTGTTTACCACCCCTCCGTAACTCTTTGGTAACTTACTAGCTTCTAATTATTACTCAGTGTGTAACTGTTGCCGTAGCTTGATTATTGATACCTTGCCCATCCCACAGCAGCAGCTCGGCTTCGCTTGGGGTAAGTCCGTCCTCTCCCATAGTTCTCATGCCGTTTCTAATTATAAAAGCCAGCAGGATGATGGCTGCTGGTCACCTAATCGGTAATATCATCGGAGTAATTGAAACTCCAAGAGTCTTTGGACCTTATTTGAGAGATACCCAGTTCAAGCATATTATGGCAATGGCCTCGGCACTGCTACTATTTTCCACCCTCATAACTGCATATGCCGTAAGGGAGAGAGTGCTCATTACAGCTAGGTATGCTTCATATGGCAATGAACCTTCCTTTCTTGAAGCAAGTAACTGATGATCGTATTAATAGAGGCGGTACAAGTCAACTTACAGCAGCAAACATACTCTACCGCTTATTCCAAACATTTATTTCACTGCCACCGCGCATTAAAGCAATATGTTGGACTCAGTTTTGGGCATGGATTGGTAAGGTTTCTTCAACTTAATCTTGGAAATATTCTGCTGTGTGCGCTAATTCAAATTGTAAGGGTGGTTTCCATTCCTGTTCTATTGCTCGATTTGGATTGGAGAAATTACATTGTATCAAGAGGCTTCTAAATCGGATATCCCAAGACCACAAGATGTACTGACCGACTTTAGCCGGTTGGGTAGCTTAGCCCTTGTGATTTTTTCTTTGGTGGCCTTGTTCGCATCCGTTCTGTTGCCTTTGCTTTGCTCCTCGGAGAGTCTGAAAAGCTCTTTCAGCCCTACAATCACGTTTGCTATCGGGGGAAATTTTAAGAGAATACACCTCTCGTATCCGGATCTTGGAACTGTTTGGATGATTTCACACATTGTATTCGCAGGTACAATGGTATTATCCCCGCTAACGGGATCAACTGGATTTGCAACGTTTTTAGTGGCACTTTGCGGCATTCCCTGGACGATTACATGTTGGGCGCCATTTGCATTCATTGGCGAAGAAGTTAATCGTCTTTGCATCCCAGTGATACCGAGGGACCCAACCGTTACCATGATAACATCAGCAACTTACTCTCGTCGGCAAGGTTCCTACAGCTCTTCACCCAGAGACCATGCTCCCTCAGATATAGAACTAGATGACGGCGTGTTGATGTTAAATCACGGCGAAGATGGCAGTGATAGTGAAGATCAGGGTGGTGAAGTGCCAAATGCCAATATGTCAACTGGGGAATTGGCTGGAATATATCTTGGGATCCTAAACGTATATACCACCCTTCCCCAGTTATTTAGCATGCTCATTAGCTGGGTAATCTTTAGAGCATTCGAGCCCAAACTCGAAGTCCCACGGGTGACGCAGGCTGCTTCAGTGAAAGACCAGTTTTCACCAAACACTATAGACGTAAATACTGGCAACCCCAATGCCTCCAGATTACGTTTATTCATAGGCGCATTAAGCGCCCTACTTGCGGCTGAATCCACAAGGAGGCTGAAGCAAGCCCGGTAGGGCATTCCAATTCTCTCCCAGTTATGCATTTAACATATATCTGCCTAATCAAGCGAACCGTGGACATGTACGATACTCAGAAGCACAGACTATTTCTACAAGCATATCAGGACGTAATAACTTGACAAAGGTATAATTATTTACTTAATACTAGGCTCCTAGTTAGGTAGGCCGCCGTTTAACAAACTGCTCCAAATCCTCTCTGGTGGCAACTCCGAGAACAAATTTGCGACTAGCATCAGTAACTACTGCAAAATCCTGTCTTTGTGCCTCTTTACCAGGTTCAGCAGGATGTAGCTTCCCGTCAAAGAACCTTTCTAGCTCTTCAAGAGGCGTATCCATAGTTATAACTTGGTAAACATGGCCTTTCCGCCGAAACTTCAGCATAGCCTTCTCAACTGGGTCGGACTCGGATACTACTCCCGATTTTAAGAGTGACTTAAGCCGCGGAATAGAGAGATAACCAAGAAGAGAGCGAGAATCTGATGATATCACAGTCAAGTGGGTGTAATCGCGCTCATATGCCGAAAGCAGCGCAGATGAAATGAGATCATGAGGAGACGTAGAGAGAGCAGCCGGTGGGTCCAAGTCTTCAACAGTAGCCTACAATATTGTGGCTAGTATCAGCAACAAGTTGGGTAGTAGAACATGGAAGTATGTAAAGATAATGTTGTTGCGAGTGAGGGTATAATATTGAATCCACCGAAATCAAGGGCGATACATACCCCTCTATATCTCTCGGACCATCCACTCGAGGAAGGATTAGAATAGGTATCAGTGGTAGGGGTCCTCTCGCGTTCGTACGCTTGGCTCGCAGAGACGTAGGAAGTCATAACTATCCGTCTAAAGCCAGCATACGTCAAGAAATATAGGCCAAATATCGGTAGCTGTATTTGAAGGAAGACCTGATGGTATGAGAACCCAGCGGCCACAGAATGTTGGTTTTTTGATTCGCGTGTGAGCTTTGAGGGATTGACAATTTAACTACTAGCGCGACACAGCGGCTTTGGTGATGTTGAAATTGGCAGCAAGCAATATGCACGTGATCATCCTTTTAGGTTAGGCAGATTAGTAAGTTTTTAAAGTTTGATGTTCCCGGGTTTAAGTAAAGCTTATTACTTATCCCCGAGCCACCTTGGGCTGTTGTGCACACTACGTCATCGCATTCGGGTGGTGTTGGAGTGATACATATTATACTGCTTTCCGCCCCTTCCGGACAAGCAGGAATACAAAAAAGAACTACCACCTTACTCTTAGATTGGCCCGGATCTGTACGATATTGCCAGGCTAGCCTTACACAGGTTAAGGTAAATATCTCGATGAGTATTGTTGGAGAAGAAAGGTTACGTCTGACTGCTTTTTGTGCAGAGGCTGGAGTCAATCGCATCCGCTACCTCCCTCCGCATACGTGTTTTAATTGTCTATGCTTAGGGTGAGCTGAACCTCAACATGTCATCATAGCTTATTATGCTATTACACGCAACTGTTAACCACAACATGGCTCCAGTGCTAGCAGTCTAGTAATTGCCATACGATGTCTTCGATATTCCCAGGTAGCTTGTTTAGTGGTGAAGCTTCTGTACAGGATCCCTATTCGAAATGCGGGGTATACCCTGGAGCAACTGGCTCTCTTAAAAGAACACCCTTTCCAGCATGGAGTGTTGCCGAGGATGTCAAAAGGAATACTAGGTCCCCCCAAGAAGTTGGTAGTATGGGCTCCAAAGGAACCGGCCCGGCTGGGAAAATCGAGCTATACTCTGGAAAGTATTATGCGTCTTGTATAACAGGAGGCATACTTGCTTGTGTATGTGGAATGATCTTGATACACCTTATGGTCCACGTTTGTCCACAACCTATTAAACACCACGAACCACTAAGCCTTGTGTTATTTTCTCTCTTTATTCCCCTCTTTATATCTCTTATGAAGCATCAGCCCAATCGCCATGATGGAGTGCTTACGGAGAATGTATACTCTAGGGACTAACTCATGCAGCCGTGACCCCGCTAGATCTAGCAAAATGTCGGCTGCAGGTGGACCCAACAATGTATAAAGGCATTATTGATGCATGGGGCAAAATTGGCCGCGCCGAAGGTATTCGAGGGATTTTCACTGGATGGAGTCCAACTTTCTTTGGATACTCGGTATGTTGATTGACATGAAAGGACAAATTGTGTTGCAGCAGTTCCAAGCTCTAACCCAACGTTTTAGGCCCAGGGAGCGTTCAAATACGGAGGGTATGAATTTTTCAAGAAATACTACTCTGACCTACTGGGAGAGGACATTTCTAGCCGCTGGAGGACACCAGTCTATCTTGCCGCAAGTGCATCTGCAGAATTCATTGCTGACGTTGCTCTTTGTCCATTCGAAGCGGTAAAGGTGCGAATGCAGACTACCATCCCCCCGTTTGCAAGAGGGACATTCACTGCCATTTCGCACGTTACCGCGAAAGAGGGCGTAGCTGGGTAAGACTTAGAATGCCAACAGCTCCCAAGAATATAATTCGACTAATGCGTCGAGTATAGTCTTTATAAAGGACTGTATCCGCTCTGGGGTCGACAGATACCATACACCATGATGAAATTTGCCTCATTCGAGAAGGTTGTTGAGATGATATACAACTATCTCCCTGGCCAAAAATCAGACTATAATAAGGGAGCCCAGACAGCGGTGGCATTTGCTGGAGGATATGTGGCTGGTATTCTGTGCGCAGCCGTATCCCATCCCGCAGATGTGATGGTGAGCAAGCTCAATGCCAACCGTTTGCCTGGAGAAGGCTTTGGAGCCGCCATAGGACGCATATATAAGCAGATTGGCTTCGTCGGCCTGTGGAATGGCCTCCCCGTGAGGATTGTGATGGTCGGAACCCTGGTATGTACCTTCTCTGCTTGAAACAAGCACTAACTGGCGTTTGGGTATTTTGCTAACGCACTCTGTTCTCGATATCGACGCCAGACTGGGCTTCAATGGATGATGTAAGAACTTCGCTCCCCCCCACTCCCTCGACCCCCCTGACATCCTGATGCTAATGGCGTTTCGCATGTAGATACGATTCGTTCAAGATCTTTATGGGCCTACCAACTACTGGTGGTCCGGCTCCTGCCAAGCAGAAGTCCTGAGGAATGGCGGGAAATCAAATATATTGAGTTACTGTTGACTATAGCAGCTGGTTAAACCCGTAGTTAACTACCACTAACTAGTTGGGCGGTTGGTTAGTTATTAATGTCACACAATGTCGTTAACTGCCAGCTTGACGCCGGCTCGGCTTTTTGCCTCTCTACTGTAGCTAACTAGCTAGCTATCTTCCAACTTGCTCCTTCAGACTCGTCGTAGACAGCTAACCAACCAACTAGTTAACAGACCAAAATCCTTCCTCGCAGCGACCCTAGCCAGACCCTTGATTTCCATGTCCCCGAGCCGCGCTTCACAAAGGCCGTGGCTTCTGGACCCTTGGGGGCCCAGTTAATTTAATTATATTACATACGGAGCCAGCATCATCGACATGTGGTTCTTTTCTGGAGCCCACTTGCAGCCATGGCTTCAAACAGCTGGGATCTGGCCAATCCGCGCTCTCGTAATTTAAAGAAAAGGCAAAGTCAGCCCGCCCCAGTCGCTAACAAGTTAGTTAACTAGCAAGCATGCAAGTCATGGAACGACCTTCCTCCCGAATACTCCGTACCAATTAACTACTTACGGGCAGTTTTCCCGCTCCCTTATCTCTCGCCCGCCCCCCTTTGAGGGTCTGACACATGGGACGGAAACTACTTTGACACCTTCCGGGACAAACGCTAGTCACCACGCGAACCGACGAGGCAGCTAACTAACTAGTTAGCGGGCGGCTTATTTCATGTGTGATGGTCAGGGACCCGAACCATGACGACCACGGGTTCCGTTCCATTACTTGCATATGGGGCGAGCATCACAACGGGCTTGTAAGTAGTTATCTCAGCGCCGCAGAGCAGGCGGGCCTCTCTTTATCTCCAGGGCATATCCTAGGCATATCCCAGGCATATGCAACCCAGCCGAGTCTCACGTTTCCTTGGGGTGGCTTTCGACTCCCCACTACTACCACCAGCACCACTAACACTACTTACTACCACCACCCATGCTGCTATAGGCGAAGGATGCAGTTACCCGTGTCCATAATTGAGTGTGTTATTCCTTGGATGGCCACCTTACGCTGGACCCAGGACCCGAGGGAAGCGGGTGAAATGGAATCCTCTGAGTTTGCTCTCTGCTCTTGACTAACTATAAATAATGCCGTATCATCGCCCCTTGACGGTTGAATGCACCCCCCATTGTTGCAGGCTGATTATATCACTACATCATAGCCCCTTGGTACATTCCTTTCTACAGCGTCGACAATGCCGGTGGCGGAAGAAAACACTGCAGCTCTCCCTGACTACGTTCTGGACCCCGATGCCGTTCTCAAGGATGATATCTGCTGGCGGTATGGACGGGCACCGGATTACTCGAAAACACGAAAAGAATACGAGGGAGGCATGTATCTATCATATACCTCCTCTTAACTTTCTCCTTGAACAATAACACCTAGTTATCTAACACACGCCGCGTTGCCATAGGGAAAAAAATGAACCACGAAGCTGGCAGCCTCCCCAACTTGGTCGAAAACCTTGTAAAGAACTGGGAAATAGAGGCATCTTTTAAACCGAATTTTGCTGATTGGCGTACTGTTGATCAAGAATGCTACACTTTCTCCGTGAATGGCGGGCCAGCTCAGTCTCCAAACCATATGCTCGCCGTTGGAACATATAATGCCATTATCCCTTCTAATGCATATTATGACCCAAAACACTCCGATTTCGCAAAGAGCCACAAGACTTTCAAAAGGATGATGCCAACATTTGCATGGGAAGTGTTGGAGGTATATAGCGGTCCACCTGTAGTGGTATTCAAGTGGCGGCATTGGGGAAGAATGACCAACGACTACTCTGCGGTCAATGAGTGAGTTAACCTTCAACTGCCTACTGCTGCCTTATTGCTTCTTCTCGAAGAATGTGAACTGGAGGCTTACTATCTCTGCGAAAATGAAGCAAGGGCGAGAACGTGATGGTTAAGGCACACAACGGTGCGATAGACATTGAGGGACTGGTTGTTGCAAGGGTGAATGATAACCTTCAGATCCAGTCAATCGAAGTATGGCAGGATCCTATGGCCATGTTCAGGCAGATTGACCCGAAAGGAGAAGCGCAACTCAAGCCTCAGACGGAGACGGAGTTATTGACGGATGAGTCCAGTAGCAAAGTGCAAGTGCCACAATGCCCTATTGCTCATTAACCGACACGGTATATATAACTCTTGACTTTGCTTAATGAGATGTGCCTTCTCAACTTCGACTTCCAAAGTGTGACAATACCCTCTCAAACTAGAACATTGAAAAAGAAATGCTTGTTAGATTGACTGGTGATAGGTGATGCAAAAGTCTAATAGTGACAAGGTTACAAGCATACTATAATTGATTAATACACATAGAAATAATTCCAGTTAATACTGGGGCTAGATAAATACAAATGATCTATGAACTGATATGTAACGTGTTATTATAAGTCTATTCACCTTGATTTGCCCATCCCCGCATGTGATTGCGCCTTCTCATTGTCTCCTTTGCCGTCAGAAAAATTTTCTTCTCCATCCTGAGGATCTGACCCTTCTGCAGCGTTATACAGAGTTTCCAATTCAGCTTCATCAGGTCGAGGAGCAGACTCGACGTCCATTCTTCCACGTCGTTTGCCCCTAAAAGTGGCAAGGCTAGCGGAGCTAAAGCTCTCAAGATTAGGGTAGATACCCTTGTATTCCAATCCTTTCTCCCGTCGTTTAGATCGCCAAATGAAGAATCCCCATAAAGACGCAGCAATGGCGACCACAACTAGAGCAACTTCACCAGACTTATAATAGGCTTCCCAAGCAGCAATTTTAATCTTCTCCTTCTCTTTCTCCTCAGCAGTGGTACTGTTTGGATGAGCACCGACAGACGTCGGGGCTCCTTTCAAGCCATCGATCCTGGAGTCCGCTGGATCTCCTCCGATGCTGGTGATATCAATTCCTAGGAAACGATCCAGCATATCACGAGAACGGCGGGGGAAGTCGAATGGGACCATATGGCTGGCATTGTAAAACTTGACATATGTCAAGTTTCTGGCCTGTTGGTATATGCCAGCTGCACTTCCCTCAAATTCCCAATTGTGGCGTGGTGCCCAGACATCTGGAGAAAGTTCAAAGCCTGTAGCATTCAGCCATGTCATGTTATGTATCAAGTCTTCTGTACCTATGTGGTTACAAATCAAGTCCTTGTCACCACTAAACAGCACTATCGGCATTCCTCGTTCGAGTAGGCCTGGCAGAAGTTGGACGGATGGTACTGATTCTGTAGCCTGTAGATTTCTCCCCACACCAGGCGAACACTCGCGCCAGCCTGTGGTTTTGTCTTCGTTGATATTCAAAGCCTTTACCACATCTGGTCGGCGAAGGTACGAGGTAACGAGAGAAATATCCGGGGGCCAATTCATCCCGCAGGCGTCGGGAGTATCTTCAAGTCTGACATCATACATGTTAATGCATTTCCCGTCAACTTTCGTGGTGTCCAGAATTAGTTCCAACACTCGCTCGCACTCATCCACGTGGACTCCAAATTTGCCTACTTCCTTGAGTTTAGACATGCATTTTGATAATTGAGACTCTGCAGCTTTAGCCCCGTCGGAGTTCTTGTCCAGGACACCTTCTTTATACGAAAATGGCAAATAGGAACGGTATTGCTCAAGTGGGGAAATCCAGCCGTTCCCAATCAAAAGTCCTTGCACATTCCAGGAAGTGCCGTTGGCGGAAAGCTTTTCATTACGTCGGACGATTGCGTCGGCAATATAAGGGATGTATTGACCAGCATACGATTCACCGGCAATATAAATCTGAAGTATTTTTCATCAGTTCACAACTAAGAAAGAGCATAGACTTAGGGGGGGAGGGGAAGAAAGTCACATACATCATCCCTTTCATATTCAGGAAACACATTAAACCACCTTTCCAGAAAAGTGACAAATTGGTCGGCCATGGGTCCAAGTTCACGGACATAGCTGTCTGTACTGACATAACTGAATCCAGTGCCTACAGGCTGATCCACGAATAACAGGTTGGCAAACTCGTCCCATGATCCATTGTTGTAAATCAGGGTATGGTCATCCTGAAGTCTGTAAGGGCCAATTTCCATCAAGGCGCCATCCATTGAGCTGCACCCAGGGCCGCCGTTTAGCCATATTACGGTTCTCTGGCGATTCGCTATATGGCGATTTTGATAGTGCCAGAAGAATAGGTTCCCCTTGTGCTCAGGATCGATCTCGATGTGTCTGGTACGTACAGAGAGATGAAAATATTAACAACACGCCAGGTCATATTGAAAGGGAAGAACGTATGAGAGATAATGTATACCCAGCATGCATCTTCAACAAAGGTCCCTCGGGCTGGCCTGGAAGAGACCGAACAAAGTAATCGGAAGCACATTTTGCTAGAACAGCCGCTGGATTCGAGAGTAACAGTAGTAGCCAGGCCCAGCATGCTCGTGTGCTACCGACCAGCGTCTGGTGAGATTGGCAACGCATCTTATGTATGGTAGGTCTTAGAGCCCCAAAGACGCATGATCGAGGCCCGGTAGATGTACAGCACCTGTATTGAGAGGAAGCAGACAGAATAGACAGGCTGAACGAAATCGCAGCCTGATGTTCATCAAGACGTTTCGTACGTCCAAGTGATGGAAGTCAAACGACGTTTCGAGGTCCGAGGAGGATTATATAAGCAGCCCCTTTCCATGTCGCCGTCTCCCCTGAATCCGATCTTAGTAGCTACGGCAAAAGCAGCATGGCGATCTGACTGCGTAGGCAGTTCCTATATACTCTATCGTTCCAATTTTACTCTGTACATTCCATAGCTGTAGTAAAGACGTGTTAAAGCAGGTCTCCTATCGCCTTGTCTGCGTCTTGCTTAATGAGAGTTGCCATGCCCTACATTGTTTGGACTCGCCGGGTCAGTTAAGGAGTTAAGTCAGGGAGGAAGAGAAGAGCGTCTGCCTTCTTACATCTGGCATGATTGGTGCTCCATCGGGCCCTTTTACATAGCGAAAGGGCATTTCGATAGACTCGCGCTTGTTGATGCGGATCTCGGGGAAGTCAAGCCACAGGATCTGGCTCAACGGCACTACGGGCGGGTTTTTTTCTGTTTCAGCTGGCTGGAAGAGGGGCAGGGGAGGTGATGTATTCTAGAGCTGCTGGGTTATCATACCTTTGTCCTGGGTGACTATCCGTGTCACTCTCACGGCGGTGTCAGTAGTCATTTGCTTGGGTCCCAATCGGCGGGCGGCATAACCCTTTTTTCTCAACTCAGAGGTCCGGTCTCCATGTAATTTAGTTAGCCTGGCACGGCCTGATAATTGATTGATTCTAAAGAATTCTGTGCTCATTCGGGGAATAGTGGTTTTGAAGTTCCCGGGCCGGTGAGACAGAGGAGCAGTGATTTGGCATTCCTTCAAGGCCAGGGTCGCCATGTTCATTTACATACCTCGTGGCGGATGGTCCCCTAAATTGAAAGGCTTCTGGTCAGCAAGCAAATACGCCTTGCAATCGGATACAGGTTTAATTTAATACATACCAAGGATGCCGCCAAACAGGAACACCTGGAAAGTTGAGCCATCAGCAGGCGACAGTTCGGCGACGGCGGCGGGATCCAGCAGACAGATAGCTGACTTCTTGTCCGCAAAAAGCTCCTCCACGCTCCGATGCTCGGCGGCTAGGTTGTTCTGCGACACCAGGTTCTGTGGCAGGCGCAGTGACTCCGGGACCGAAGTGAGCATGAACTTCGCCCCGGCTTTGTTCAGCTCTTCGGCAATGCACTTATATTCCAGCGCCGACCAGGGCCCAAGTTCTGGGTCAAGGTGCTCGACGACGAAGGTAGGGGGTATCTGCTCGGCCATGTCTGCCACAAGCGCCTTTTTAGAGGCTTCCTGCTGCAATGATGAATATTCAGATAACTCGTTAACTAGTTAGTTACAGTGTGTGTGTGCACGTAACTAGTTAACTACGTGTCAATCCAGTCAATTGTTAAGAAGAAATTTCCAGCAGCCAACCTTCTAAGCAGATATCACAATTTGACCAGCTGCCGGCTATCCAGGGCTGTGAGTGTGTAACTGACTCGTCAGTTATCGATAACTGCCGCCAAGTTCGTTTCGTTGCTGGCCCGCATGGTGGGATGGAAGTTTAACCTAACTAACTTCTTTGACCGGGCACGGCAGCAGGTGATGTCAGGAAGAACAAGAACGACAACACCCAGCGACCAGAGCCCCAGACTGCTGCTGCTCTTCTGCTCCTCCTGCTGCTCACTACTGCGACCAGTACTTGAGTGAAGGCCCCTGCTAGCTAGTTACCTGAATCTCTACAAGGCCACCATCGCCGCCGCCTCTCCCACGCCCCGTCGCCCCTCTCCTGCGCTTAATACGCCAGCAGTCCCTGGGACCGACCTCCTCGCCCACAATGAACCCTCACCAGCAGAACAAGATAGATATCAACGTGAGCCGCCCTGGGCCGCTACAGCTAACTACCTGTAGAAGGACCTGTGTTTTGTGGGTGCTATGCTAACTGATGTGGACTCCGCCTGTAGTCGTTGAGCCCTGACGAGCAGCGGCTCCTACGAATGTATGGCAAGATGCCTAACAAGAAAGACCTCCTGCAGAACAAGCTCAAGGTACGCCGTTCTGGATGTGTCCCATGAATGTCCCTTCTATTCCCCATCTTAATGTCTTTTAATTTTCCCATTTCCAGGCTTGCTGATCTTCACACAGGAAAGAAAATATTTTGACTCTGGGGATTATGCCCTGAGCAAAGCGGGAAAGGCCTCGGACGTCACTTCAATCGGCTCTCGTCACCCTGTGCCAGAGAACATTCCACACCTCACGGCATCGTCCCCCCCTCAGTCCACCGCTACCCCAAACCATTTTAACGGAAGCCATGGTCCCGCGCACTCTCACTCTGGCGGAGCAAATAATGGAATGCCCCCCGGCATGGCCCGTAGCCCTATAAAGGAAGGAAGTTTTCTACAACGACAGACCAGCATAGAAGACGCCAATAACGAGGAGGGACCAAATGACGATACAGCAGGGAAGCAGGGCTGCCCGGAGACTAGGGAATCCCAGGGCTCGAAACTATCAATGTCGGAGAGTAAGACAGAAGAGACGGAGGACCCCTTGTCGCATGAAATCCCTATTCGACGATAGCCTTGTACCTCTCCAGGCTCTTGGTGTCATTTCATTGATTCCTGGCCGTGCAAGAAGCCAATGCAGTCAGGATGATGCTCCTCTCGTCAGCTCATCGTTTCCAAATGTCTATTTCTATTTCATTTCCTCATCCTTTCCGTTAGCATGCCCTTGATATCTTCTTGAACGAGGACATGTTTGATCAGTGTTATAGTTGGCATCCTCGGTTTCTCTGTTTCCCTCTCTCTCTCTCTCTTCTCTCTTCTCTCTCTCTGTGTGCGCGCGTGCCTGACTATGTGTTTTTATTTATTATTTCATTCTTATTTTTGTTTATTTACTTTTATTTATTTATTTTATAACGGCCTCATAGTTAACTAGGTAGTTAACTCACGATTAATTTGTGCACGACTGAACTGTTATTACTCACACAGATTGCCAGCTCCTTTTGTGCATCTTTTATCTTTCTTCCTCCTCGAAAGCAGACCGACTACCAGTGCCTTATTTCATTTGCTTCCACAGCTGGAGTTATTAATAGTTCCGTATTAGCAATGAACTCGGATGGAAAGATCCTGGAAACCACCAACTCTCTAGTTAGTTAAGTAGCTACGGAGTAGTTAACTAGCTAGTTACCAGTTAACTACCGTCCGTGCCGCTGCGTCTTGCCTCCCGACAAGATCAGTCAGTTAACTAACTAGTTAGTTACTGTGAGGCCCGAAGCAACAGAGACAATCCAACCGCCGTCATGCCGCCTCTCAGATAACTCGAGCGGCTCAGACAGGCGGAGCCGGTGCTTGGTGAACGCTTGGGCATCCAGGCTACAATATAACTAACTAGTTAATGGATGTAACTAACGCTAGTTCACTAACCAGGCGGTTCTCGAGTCTTGCACCCACCCGCATAAAGCATAACTTGAATAGTTAAACACACAAAAATAACCACATCTGACCTAAAAAGCTAACAACTACCTAAGTTTAACTACAACCCGCACACAAACCTCTCGGCAAGTGCAAAAGCGGTCAACGCGCTGTCAACTTCTCGGACTCAGCCAAGAGCAACCAGCCTGGCCGGACGACAGGGCTTCCAATCTTCTCTCCTTGCCTCGTTGCTTCTACCGTCTGCTCTGCGCCTTTCGCCGATAACTGAAGCTAACAACACGTCTCATCCCTTTTACCGACCTAGCTTAACAGCCTGCTGCCTCCGTTTTCACTTCCTCCGCGCGTCGCCTACGCTCTACGAACGTCAGGGCAAGATGATTTGAATTGACAAGAAGAACCGGGAATCCTGACCACTCTCGCCAGCAGCGACTAGAAGCGAGCGTGGCCCGTGACGCTTCAGTAACATTAAGCTAGTTATTCGACCTAGTTGGTGTACTAGATCGCCTTGCTTCGATTGAACTACCTATCTCTCAATATCCAGCCCTCTAAACAAACCACTTGATATCCGGGACGCCTCCTCCCTCGAACCACTAAGCTGGCCGAAACATACTGTCTGTCCATGTGTATCTTTAGAATATTCTCGTCCGTCCTCTTTCTTTCTGCCGTGGTTCTCTCCATACCACTCGCTTTCGATGTAGGAGGAAGAACCTGCGGCCTGGCCTTCTCTCTCTCCCTCTCTGCGTTTTACTTCTTCCTCTCACTCCTCAAACTTACTACCCCAACGAGGTCGATCATCCGGAAAACTTGCATCTTCCTCATTAGCTCCACCCAATGGCTAATCGTTCCCGCGTTGTTAATATGGTCTCTTAATCGGTTTTCCATCGATTCGAACGGGTCTGGAAGCTGGGTGGAGCGGGCGTTTACAACCCTCAGAGCAAGGAATAACTCGGTACGGCAATGGGTGTTTGGACAAGATGGCTTGCTGGAGGCTGCTATCCTTGGCTTCTGGGACAAACTGCTGGTTTGGTCTATGCCTGTATTCCAATTAGCGGAAGGCTTCTGCAGCCTGCTTGTTATTCAAGCTTCGGGACAAATTACTAGATATCTCGTGAATAAGAGTGGGAGGAGCGATAGCTGGATGGTATGTATTGCTTGCCTCTTCGGTATACAGTCCCTCTTTCAATTGTCCCGACTAACACCCAACCTTCTCAGATTGGATTACTTGTCTTTTCAGCATCAATCATATCCAGCTCGCTGTACTTTCTCTGGCGTGTCTTTGGGCTCCCTGGAATCAGCAACGTCGACTCAACTCTGATAGGAGTATCTATCACCTGTGCCGTCTTCCTTTGCGCGTGGGGCATAGGTAGTGGCCGAGGCAACCCTGTCGAGAGTTCTTTATTGTTTGCATACGTCGTGCTCTGTCTATACCAAATTTTTACCGATTATAAGCCTTCCGGATCAAGGGAAAAGCCAAACTCTACAGCCCAATCACTCGAGTTTCCTCCATTACCGCCTATCATTATGGCATCCTATACCACCCTGATGCATACCATTTCGGCTCTGCCTTCGATTATCCATACGTTCTTTAGTGTAGTAACGGCAGCCTTCAGCGCGATAACTCCATCTGTGCTGATCTCGCTCATCTACCGTCTTTTCGTCCTCTATGCATCAACCCGTATTATCCCTGCTGTACGAGAGTCGGGTGCTCGCGCATTGTCTCAGGAAGCATCTCTGGAAGACGCGGATGGTGCAGGCAAGTTTCTCGGGCTCCTCAGCTGGTTTTCACCTTCAATCCTTATCGCGGTATATACCAGCCTGCTTATACAGCACTTTACATCGTTGTCGCAAATGGCAGACGAGGATTTAGAGTGGTGGAAGATACAACCCTTGGGGAGCGGGAATACGTGGAGATGGGTAAATTTAGCATGCACAATGGCACTTTATGTAGTTGAGTTATGGCTTGGAAGGCAGAATGATATTGATGGGGGATTAACACACCACTGGAAAAATGATTAAATATATATAAGAATTCAAGAATACATTTAGTTATTATTAAATTTAATTTTAAAATATTTTTCCATTACTAGCTTCTTTAGAATAGAATTCCAATGTATTATTTGTGTTGTTTGGATTAGTTTAGAACAGCATGCTTGGCCAGTGTGATGTCATACAGGAGCCACCAGCTGCCACCGCGTTGCGACTCCTTAAGATGACCCTCTGTTGCCCATGCATTTCTTTTGCTCGTTGCTCCAATAGTATCTCCACCGATTCGCGTGATGCCTGACTGAGGAGACACTCTAGCTGCGAGTTGTGGAAGAATCTGTCAACCAAACAACGTATGACAGTACTTCTGCGCGTCTTCCTGCATAGCTTGACTTTCTTCAAGGAAGGTCCAAAAAAACAACAACTTTCTCCCCAGTTGTTTGCTGTAGGTAAGTGATGCTGAATATATCTCAGTAACGCACAAACAGCTTGAATCTGGCTGACCATGATAAGATACCCCCGCCTAGTTTTATGCATGTACTCACCTGCGGATCCTCCTTTCCAAACACATGGCAGACCTGGGGTGTTGAAGTACTACATGCCCAACATAGATCTCCCGCGAGTCTTTTAACCTCGAGCTTCGTAGCCCTGGAGAACTCGTCGGATTTAGGATAACTAATCACTCTGTGAGGACCTTGTCGACATACAAAAGGATCGCTATTGTATAATAGAAGGTGAGCACTTGTCATGCACAGAGTTGGGCCAAGATAACTTATGGGTACTGATGAAGATTCGGCGAGATCTGAGCTCTCGGTTGGTCAGGACAGATGGCTAACTTCGATCTAACTTCGGTCGATAATGGGATTGCACTTTGCCCTACCTGCCACGCCGAGTTTGACCGGACAGCTGATCCCGGATTTGTTTTGTTACCCGCGGACCTGTAGTACTTTATCGATGTTGAACTTGATGGGCGTCAAGAGCAGAAGCTTGCAATGAAAAATGGGAAAGATGTTCATCGAAAAGTCCCTACAGCTGAAGAGTACAAGATTCATCAGTCTCACAACGATCTCAGCTGGACACCCTTGATATCGGCGCAGCAAACCAGCCTACAGCAGTACAGCTATATAAACGAGATGAACTCGGAAGCAAACCTCCAAGAGTCTATTGTGGCCGCCTTTTACGGGGTATACACACCCTCTCTGCGCCTGTGGCGAAAGCGTCTCGAAATAGGGTATTATCCACCATTGATTGGTCTCCAGCTTATACGGTGCTCTACGGAAAGGTCCATACCGATGCGGACGGAGGTTTGTACCGACCAATTTTTCTAAAGAACTACCTACTTGGCGGCCCTCTTTCCTCTCATATGTTAGATAACTCTCAGCTCCGAAACAATGGCACGGCGCGCCGGTAGCAACACTCCGACGCGGAATACTGGTGCTGGGAGGTACTCGAGTACTCCGTACAATCTCTAGATGCAGAAACTCGCTCACAACTTGAATTGCTTCGGGATTTGTACGGAGTACTTTCTTGATGATGAAGAGACCTCCCCAGCAGTCCGCAGCAGGCAGACACAGGGAGTGGCTCAACGGGGACAGAAGAGGCCTCTAGATGATGAATATGGCGGTCAAAATAATTTGTCAAAGTCCAGCAATCCAGCGATTGAGTGGGGAAACAGGCGTGCGGCGGATGAAGGCATCACTTCCCAGCAATGTCCCCGTGGTGCTCTTAACGTCCCCCGCAGATGGACATTGGGACCCGGCCTCACAGCGGATGAGGCAGTATTACGCCATGCACCACTGCTCAAAGACATGCAATCTACGGAGTAAAAAATTCGCTGGAAAAAATCTATTATTAAGCGGTATTGTGTTACAGTGGGACTATCTAACTCTTTTCAGTCGGCCATTCTCTTACTAAAGAAACTTAATTTCGGAATTTCTTCGTTCTGAATTGCTCAAACCTAAAATTAAGAATAAAAAGTGGGGAAAATAAAAAATATACTTCTTAGTAGGAACCTAATTCTACTTGTTAATTTTTATTAAGCCAATAAATTACAGCTAAATAGGGGTTAAAATACAGCTTATGGCCTTAAAACAGGAATAAAAACAGACATGTAACTTCTCTAACCGCTTTTATATTAGTGTATCCCAATATGGAGAGCCATTCTATTCTGAAATTGCAACAGACAGGCTCCATTGGCACGTCGAAGTCGAAGGCCTTCGTGGACGATTCCCAAAGCTCTTCTCCGTAATTTGCTTGTTCTTATGTGGTCCCTATCTAAATCAATAGCGCGAGATGTGGTAGTAAACCATTGGCCAGTCGAGATCGTGGACGGAATGTGTTGGACGTATCAGGAAACCGAATCAATCATCTTGGGTCTCTGGGGAGCTCACTCTTCCGCTCGGGCTCAGCTGAAGCCCAAAAATTCGACAGAACGGGATTGTTGCTCGGCTGTGGATAACTACCTCGATTGCACAGGTTGAATTGGCCGACAGTGGCCGTTAAATAGGGGCACTTCGCCCAT